ACGAAATTCACCTGCCCATACCTTAAACATTTTTTTTTATATATAGGACTAAATTTTCTCTGGTATAAAAGGATAAAGCTCTTCTGAAGTCACTGAAATTTTTACATTAACTTTGAATGTGTTCACTTTATGTGTCAACCTCTGACAGCAGCAGGGCATTGGCCACCATTGTCCCCTGCTTTACCCGTGCTAGGTTGAGGTGTTGTACATTGTGGTTGTGTCTGGGTTGGTTTAACTGTGTAGTTTTACTAGTAGGTTAGACAGTGGATTTGTATAGGATGGTTTAGATAGCAGTGATCCTGCCTTTGACTGGGAGTCGGACTAGATGACCTCTGAAGGTCCTTTCCAGCCCTACTTTTCTTTGATTCTATGACTAAGAAGCCGAAGCACAAACAATGTGCCTCATTCCTTCTACTGAAATGCACTGTAATGATACATTTCACACCTTCTTCCAGCCATTGACTTCTTCAAATCTCTCCTTTCCCTAATTGCCTGAAAAAATAGATGTCAATGGATGTAAAATAATGACAGACCAAGGGAAAAGCGTCTTTACAGTCTAGGTCTTTTCTGTGACATATGCTGCCACCTACTATCTTCTTTTTAAACATGGGCACTGTCAGTTTCTGCTGATTACAACAGCAGAGATGGCATAGAAGGAAGGAGGGAGTAGTTTCAGTGTCCAGGTTCCTAACAATTTCAGTCAAAATTAATTCCCTAAACACCTTTCCTCCCCTAGAACAAATGGGAAGCTAAGGGGATTGAACTCGGAGAGCACCAGTATAAAGTGCTTTCTGCATACAGTCTTCTATCAGTCCATTGGAATTTGCACAACAGAATGCTTCCTGATGAATACAAAGCCTGTTGGGGGCCTTATGAGAATTGCTTTAGGGGTAAATGGTATTCAGTACTGTTGAATGAAGGGATTGACAGCTTTCATTAAAAGCTGGCCTCAAGCCTCCCTGCTGATCGTCACTATTTCAGTTCATAACCTATAGGCTAAAGCTTCCTCAGCATCCTCCAAAACTTAACAAATAATTCTGTCTGAGATGCAAGCAAAGAAGACAAGTTGTAGGCAGGAGGCACTCTGTTCTTTCACCACAGGGGCAGACATCTTAGATTGTCACAAGGAGGGAAATGTTAATTCCTTAATTAAGTTTGGCCAGCAAGGTAATCATTTGGGATATTCCTGTGGTGCAGTGTTTATCATATTCTTTTGAATCTATTCTGTATAACTATTATATACAAGGTATAATCCTGCTCCCCTCCCTGCACATGATGGACTGAAACTGAAAAGAAGATCCAAGAATACTGATGAGGCACTCACTACAGAAGAAGCAAGATATAACAAGCAAGTTTTAATTAGACACTTGTTTTAACAAGTAAACATGGTACAAAATAGCATGCAAAACCCTGGCACTTTTACACTTGGTGATGTGAAAGGGGAAAAATACCTTTTCTGCATGTATTAATTTATTCATGTATTTGAAGATTTACTTTGATGTAACATTGTTAGGAGATAGAATTTAAGGATGATTTTACAGTCTTGGTGAAGTAGCAGTTCCAGTGCTGAAACACCATTTCAGTACATACTGTCTAAGATGGCACATGAAGAAATGACATTAAACTACAGGAGATCAAAGGATATGATATTACCTGCACCTTCATCATAGGTCAGATAATATTCATGTGTTAGGTCAGTGATTCTTCAACCATAGTGTTGAAGAATCCTGGGGTGCCTTCAAGATCCTTCAACGAGTGCCACAAGGTCTGAGGAGATACGCTGATAAGTGCAAGCTCAGGCTTCTTTCTGCCTGGCTGATCCCTCACCCCACTACCTAGCTCCTCTGCAAGCACTGAAAAATATAATTTACGCTTTGTAAATGGGGCTGTTCAGTTCACAGAAAGTAATGCAGGGGTGCCTCATATCCAATGAAAAGGTGCCTTAGGTCCAAAAAGTTTCAGAACCACTGTGTTAGGAGGTACGGTTTTACTTTCCAAAGCTTGAGACAAAAATAGGTAATATTTCTTACCTTGTGGTAAAAAAAGTTTATTTGCTGAGCATTTCTGTAAGCAGCAAATAGTCTTTTCTTTTCATTTAATTTTTTCATAACTAAACACAAATTGTCATGGAAGCCCTATTGGTGGTTTTAAGAGGGCACTTGATTTATTGCTAGCCTGCAGTCATTTGATATATTGACCGTAGACCATTACTATTATTATTTTACTTCAGTACATTAATTTAAACTTGATTTCTATGCTGATGTCATTTTGAGTAGCTCTTAGAATTGCTTACATAGTAAACTGAACACATATTAAGGGGAAAAAAATCTACCCTGCAATCTATGCTCTTAACTCTGATTGATTTGAATAGGATTCATGGGATGGGTATTGAGTGGCTGGATTTGCTCTTTCAGAGCTGATTCTGCCACTCTTACTTACACTGAGTCGTCCAATTAAGTCTTTTGGGATATTTCACATATTTTCTTTTTAACTGTAGCTTTACCTGTGTGTCAAGAACTGTAAAACATGTCATGTTGTACATGGCTAGTGGGATGCCAGTTCAGTTCAGACAATCTCAGTGGGCTTATAATTTAGGAAATCAGGTATACACTTCTTTTTTTTTTTGTTTTCCTACTGGGAAAGTCAGGTTTATATTCTTTTTTTATTCTGTTCCTTTCTCTTACTTTTTTCTGTCACTTTTTACATTTTCTCTTTAAGGTTGTCAATTTTTGGAGAAAGGGACTGACTTCTTTCTTTATGTATACTCAATGTAGAGCATAATGGGACCTTGATCCTGGTTGGAGTTTTCTGCACTACTGCAGTGCAAATAATTGAATTAGAATGGAAATAATTTGATACTTTAAAGTATTTTCCATTGTCTTTAAGAAAACTGTGATTTCACCCTAGATCCATTTGAAAACAAATTAGCCTACAAATTGACTTCAACATTTTACTGTGTATACCTTCACAAAACCACTGTGGGTTTATGTAGGAGAGCTTAAATATCGCAAAATTCCAGATGTAAATATGTATTATCATTTGAAAACAAGGCTTGTTCCTACATTGATTTGTATGTCTAGGTGTTCAACAAACTAAGACCTTTTCTCACCAGTTCATGAAGATACTTGGATAACCAAGGGTTAGTTCTAAATGTAGACCTACTCAGGAACATTCCAGTAAAATATGTGCATTTTCTAAATAAAACCTTCCATCTGTCAAGCTAGATTACAGAAAAGTTGGTTTTGATAAACTGGACAAAATAGAATCATGGTTCTGTTGGAAATATGCATCATTTCTTGCCAGTTCAGTTGATAGGTTGTAGGGGGACCTGAACTTTTCAGACTATAACAACAGGGAAGCTCCACTTTTCAGAGAGACTGAAAGTCTGAGCAGTGGTAGGCCTAATCAGTTCTCTGTACAACAGGGGGCACATCTACATGTGCAAATAATACAGAAGCAGTTTACTCTTGAGTAAACTCTGCTGGGCATGTGTCGAAACGTGCTGAGACACGGGAGCAGATTTGCTACTTCTAGCAGCAGACTGCTCCCACTCCCAGCAGCCCTGTAATGAGCCCCTGCAGCAGTCAGGGGGAGTTCTAGGCTCCCCCTGGGCCCAGGGGCCAGGAGACAGCTATCTCCTAGTGGGGGCTCAGACATTGGAGTTGCCTCTGGGAACTGCCTGCTGTTGTGGTGGGATGCAGCACCATAGCCTGGACAGGGAAAATGTCCCCCTGCCCTGGTAGCAGGGAGCTCCCAGCCCCCGCTTCTATCATGGGACTAGGGCTGGGAGATTCTTATTTCCCAGCCTGAGCTCCATGGTTACATGGTTCCCTGAGCTGGAAAATGGTCATGGGGCTGGTACTGGGAGATCAGGATCTCCCAGCCCAGTTCCCATGACTGTATAACTCAGGCTGAGAGATAAGGATCACTCAGCCCCGGCCCGCATTCTCAGAGCAGGGGCTGGGAGCTTCCTGCTGCCAGGACAGGGGGATATATTTCCTTCCTGGACTCTGGTGGTAGAGCCCATCCTGGCAGCAGGCAGCTATTTGAGACAGAGAGAAAACTCCTGCCCCCTGCTGCCCAGATGACCAGGAGCACATTTGTGCCCAGTCAGGAGTCTACACGTGCACTACTACACAGTTACTAATCATGAGTAAATTTGCTGCTTACTTTTGCAGGTGGCAAATTTACCCTTGATTAGAGTCAATTATTGCACAATAAGTGTCTGCACATGTAGATGCGGATACTTACTGCACATTAATTAACTCTGCTATGCAGTAAAGCATCTCCTGTAGATGCGTCCAGGGTGTCTGAAAACCCTGACAATCCTGGCTCAAAATGGAAACCCAGTTTGAGTCAGGGCACTTGCAGTCAAAACAGTTGCAAGGAATCTAGAAGTGCTAATTTGAACTAGGGTTTCAAGGTTCCAGAATCTAAAGGCTCTTGGTTCATCTGTGGTTTACAGAGCTTCTATGTTCCCAGATCTCTGTGAGCTTCCATGTTTGATTATTTCAAACTGATTTTTTTCCAGATTTTCCCTTCCACAGTAAATTTTTTAAATTTCTATGTTTCGCTCTGGAAGAACCTTTTGAGGTTTTCAGAATTTCCCTTAGAATAGAAATTCAAATTTTTGATCAGGACATGAAAAGAGATGAGCATTCTCTCATTTCATTAACCGTACACAAATGTTTTCTACTTACAGCATGGATGGGATTAAAGGGGTTACACTACACCAAAACAATTAAATGGTGGGGTTTTGGAGTGGAAATAACTTCAGTATTGTTTCTGAGATGTTTGTTAAATGAGAGTGATTTTTTTTTAATGAGTTCACTTTGACTAAAATCAATCTAGCATATTAGTGTTTAAGTTATGATTGTGGCTTTATATATAAGTTAAAATATCTCTTTAAATAAAGGAACATTTTTTACTGGAATTTATTACAAAATGATTAAATTAAGGAGTAGCAGCTCCCTAATGGCATCCCTTCATTTTTCTTACAGATTTTCAGGCGTTGCTGGTTGGTTTTCAAGAAGGCTTCCAGTAAAGGACCCAGACGGCTAGAAAAATTTCCAGATGAAAAGGCAGCCTATTTTAGGAATTTTCACAAGGTAAATTGCACCATCTAAGTAGACTTAGGCTCCAAGGAACATACTGCTTTTTGAGTGGAGGATATTTCTAATATGTCAGATCTTCAAAAGATTTTATGATGACCAGGTAGAAGGGTCTGATCTTTGGAATGCTGAATCATGATTAAACTCTCACTGGGCACCTCTACGCTTTCGTTAATGCACCTTTACTACTGCATGTTAATTTTGTACTTCTAATATGAGTTACTACATAAAGGTGCATTAGCCCACACTAATGCGTAGTAGCTAAGGCAATTTTTTTTTGTGAGACAATGCGCAGTAGAATAGGCTACTTCACATTACAGCATCTCATGTAAATGTGCCTACTGGTGTCAATTGAACAGAATTAAGCCTTAGGCTTTTTCTTCAAATAATCAAGAGAAATGTATCCTCTTGTATATAAGATAGTCATCTGATCTTAAAATTAATATTTGCATTGAAAATAGACTGATTTTAGTGTAAAAAGGCAAATACGGTGTTTTATCAAATAGCTAACAATTGTTAATAATTTTAAACATAAACCAATTTCTGAAAATGCTAAATGTGCCAGTTTTTGATTGTTTCAGTATCTAATGTTTCCATATTATACTTCAAGGTTTACAGGCTGTGGGAATTGATCTTTGAAATAGAAACTGGCATTTCTACAGACAGCACTGATTTGAATGAGATCCTTATTGCTTTTTGTCGCAATTACTTTTGTGGTGAGGATACAAAGTATTTTGATATAAGCTTTCCTTTCAGCTACTATCATTATCCAATCTAGTGGTGCAGAAGGCATCAAATGGGGACAGTAATAAAGACATAATGTTTCATAGTTCTATAACTACTTTTTACCCAGTGATCTCAAAGGATATTACAAACATTTAGCCTGAATCAAGTCTTGAAGCATCTCCATAAGTCAGAACCATCAGGGTGGAGGGGACCTCAAGGTTCATTTGGTCTAAGCACATGTATGCATATAGGAATGATACTCCTAAAGATATTGCACTGCAGCTGTTAAACTAAAGCAGAGGTGACTTACCTAAGGTCATATATCAGGACTGTAAATGTTAGGAGCAAAACTCATATTTCCTGAAGCCCAGTCTGATGCTTGTCATCAGAGGAAGACAAATTCATTTTTAACTTTAGATGCAAGCTGGGGGATAGCCAAGCTGGGGGATGGAAGCCGGGGGACAGCCAAAGAGAAAGGACACAGAGAGGGTAGTCAGGGAGGTGTTGAGAGGCTGGAATGATGTTGGGGCAGCGGAAAACTGAGGGTTACCAATGGGGGACTTAAGTGTCTATGTAGAAATGCTAGGATTATGAGGAATATGCAGGAGGAACTGGCACTCCTGCTAGTAAATAGAGAATATGATCTTGATGGAATAACAGAGACCTGGTTTGATGCCACGCATGACTGGGCTTTGTGCATAGAGGACTACAGGCTGTACAGAAGGGATTGGATAGGGAAGAAGAAAGGAGGTGTAGCTCTTTATATAAAAGAGTGGTATGCCTCCTTGGAGACCCACATTGGTTCAAGAGATGGGTGACCTGAGACCCTGTGGGTCAAGATACTGGGGGGACAAAGAGAAAGGGACTTGATGGTAGACTGCCATACCAGGAGGAGGAGCTGGATCTGGAATTTTCCAGAGAACTGATGGAAGCTGTATGTTTAAGGGACTTGGTTGTCATGCATGACCTCAATTACCCTGACATCTGCGAGGAGAAGCACTCGGCCAGATCTGACCAGTCGCGCAGGTTTTTGACCTGTGTGGAAGAACTTTATTTAGTACAGAAGGTGAATGGGCTGACCAGAGGGAAGGCTTTGTTGGATTTGGTTCTAGCCAAAGGGGAGGACCTAGTGGGAGCTCTGAAGATTAAATTTAATCTGGGAGTTTAATCTGTGATCATGAGACAATAGAATTCACTCTCCATCATAGGGCAGGGAAATCAGCCAGTAGGGTAGAAGTGCTTGACTTCAGGAAGGCTGACTTCAATGAGCTTAGGAAAATAGTGCGAGAGACCCTATGGGAAGAAGTACTGGAGGGGAAGGCAGTTCAGAAAGGGTTGTCATTCCTCACAGGAGCAATTTTCAGAGTGCAGAAAAGGTCCATTCTTGCATATTGGAAAGGTTGTAAAGGGGCCAGGAAGCCCTCTTGGCTTGCCAGAGGAGTCAAGGAGTGCTTGAAAAAGAAAAAGGAGGCTTATAGACAGTGGAAACAAGGAGCAGTCACCAAGGAGGAATACACAAGTATAACCCATATTTGTAAGGAGAGAATAAGGAAGGCAAGGGTGGTGACCAAGATCAGGTTGGCAACAAAAATCAAGTACAATGGGAAGTTCTTCTTTAGGTATATAGGGGCAGGAGGAAGACCTAGGGAAATGCGGCACCCTTGTAGAATGGGATGGAACAGCTGATAACAGACAGTCAGGAGAAAACTGAACTCTTTAATGAATACTTTGCGTCAATGTCCCTACATACAAATGGTGGTCACCTGCCTGGTCGGATACTGAATGGATGCAGGGATGGGAGTGAAATTGCCAACCCATGGTCAGGGTTGAACTAATGAGGGAGCACTTAAAGCAGCTGAATGTCTTCAGGTCAGCAGGACTGGATGGACTGTACCCGAGAGTGCTGAGGGAATTGGCTGAAGCCATTGCGTGATCATTGGTGAAGGTATTTGAAGAATTTTGGTGCTCAGGAGGGGTCCCAGAAGACTGGAAAAGGGCCAATGTGGCACCGATCTTTAAGAAGGGGAGGAGGGAGAATCTGGGAAACTATAGGCTGGTCAGTTTGACCTTGATACCAGCTAAAATTTTGGGAAAAAAGGTATCAAGAAGTCCATGAGAAACTGGCAGAAGGAATGATGCTGGAGGATAGTCAACATGGTTTTGCTGTGGGCAGGTCATGTTTGACCAACCTTGTCTCCTTCTGTGAATGAGTAACAAAACACTTAGATGTGGGAGATGTGGTTGATGTCATATACTTGAATTTTAAAAAGGCCTTTGATATGGTTTGCTATGATGCCCTTATAAAAAACAAAGACTGGGGGATTGTGTGCTGGCAGAGTCCATGGCCATGTGGGTTGGGAACTGGCTAAGGGGTTGAACCCAGAGAGTGTTAGTGGATGGGTCTATATCACCTTGGTGGGAGGAGTCCAGTGGTGTCCCACAGGGTTCCGTTCTTGGCCTTGTACTGTTCAACATCTTTATCAACAATTTAGATGAGGATATGGAAAGCACTCTGGCCAAGTTTGTGGACAATACTAAGTTATGGGGAAAGGCGGTCATGCTAGGGGATAGGATGCAGATCCAAACAGACCTGGACAAGCTGGAAAGGTGGGTGGTGCGGAACCAGATGCAGTTCAATAAGGATAAATGTAGAGTGCTTCATCTGAAGAGAAGTAACCAGTGACAGGAAGATAGGTTAAGAGATGTCCTGACCAGCATGATGGCTGAAAGGGACCTCAGGTTTATGAACATGGGCTGCCAGTGTGACTCTGTAGTCAATAAAGTGGATAGCATACTGGGATGCATTAGCTGATTCATCGCAAGCAGGGCTAAGGAAGTGATACTTCCTCTCTACTCAGCACTGGTGAGACCCCAGCTGGAGTACTGTGGCCAGTTCTAGGTGCCACACTTCAAAAAAACTGCAGAGAATCTTGAAAGGGTCTAGAGAAGGGCCACAAGAATGATTAAGGGCCTGGAGGACAAACCTTATGAGGAAAGACTAAGGAATCTGGAGAAGAGAAGACCGAGGGGAGACTTGGTGGCCATCTGTAAGTATGTAAGGGGTAAATATCAGGAGCAGGGGGAAAAACTGTTCACTAGGGTACCCCAGGGGAGGACACAGAGCAATAGCCATAAACTGTTAGAGAATAGTTTTAGGTTGGATGTAAGGATGAACTTATGTACAGTAAGGGTGACCAGAATCTGGAGTAGAATCTGGAGGGAAGTGATGCAGTCTCCAACCTTGAAAGTCTTCAAGAGGAGACTGGACAGACACCTTGCTGGGATCATTTGATCTCAGCAGTGTTCCTGCCCAGAGCAGGGGGGGTTGACTCGATGACCTTTTGAGGTCCCTTCTAGCCCTTAATTTCTATGATTCTATTAATTGAATCTTTTGTACTTGTTATGAGAGAAGCCTATTAAATGGGTCACGTACTGTTTCCTAGTAAGTATTTTGTCCACCAAACAAAAGTATCATATCATTTGCATTATTTGAAAGTGTCTGGTAAGGCAAGGCACAACCACAGCATATAACAAGTTTTTGGCTGGATCAGAATCAACATGAGCAAATCATTTTTCTTGTGTACTAAAAATGGTATGAGTTCATACCAAGCAAAAATATTTTTCTTTCTCCCCATGAAATGGAAGTGGGCCATTTTTAAATGAAGACCTATCCCCTCCTTCTGAGTTAAGTTATTTATTCTTATTCATGAAGAAAGAAACAAAACAAATAGTTGGTTACATTTATTTAAACTGATCATAAATACATTTTGAGTGGAAATTAGGAGGTTTTGGAACAGTGAGGTAGTGGAAAAAGCCTTCCAGCTGAAGTAATTAAGATAACCTTGACTGCTTTTAAGAAACATCTTTGAGCTTGTGGATACGAATATATGATGAATTTGCCCTGTAATAGCAGAGGACCAGCCTTGATGACCAAGTTCGCTTCCAGCCCTATGCCCCTATTTAGAGGCAGAAGTTTTTGTTTTCTTCTATGTTGTTTTTTAAATGGAAAAAGCTGATGATAATGAGTATTTTTTTTAAACAGTACCGTTGTATCCAGAGGGACCCCAAAACACACTCCAAACTAATTTACCAACTAACTACTTCATATAAAAATATTTGAGGGATAAATATAGCAACTAATTAACACTGTAGAGAAATGATATCATATATGTGCACTGTTAATTAGTTGCCATATGTATCCCTCAAGTATAATGGAGAACACTACCCTGTCCTGATGGAATTTTAGGCAGGCACAACAAAATTACCTAAAT